CCTATCCCCTCGTGTGCCTGCAGACCATCAAGAGAGAGTTGACACAGATCAAACACAAGGTGGACTACCTGCTGGAGAGCCTAGAGCGCATGGAGAAAGACCAGAGCAAGAAGTCAGGTGGGCCTCGGAGATTTAATGGCAAGTTTGACAAGCTTTTAATACAGAAAATTATACATAAACACTGACACAGATGCTTCAGTTCACTTTTAATGCCTCTGCACCTACTGTATTGTCTAACACAGAGATGGTTATCTACACCTAAAGGGATTTTCTTCAAATTTGGCTCAAACTACCACTTGAAATCAAGAAAGAAAATGATAAGAATCTGGTGTTTTTTTTACTTTAACTCCAAATCTTATGATAATTTCACACTTCCACTTTTCACTTTTGTTTGGGACAAGGAGGCGTGTGGCGTAGTGGGTTAGTGCGTAGGTGTTCGGATCAGGGGGTCACAGGTTCAAACCCCACTGCAGTCAGCATGTCGTTGTGTCCCTGGGCAAGACACTTCACCCCAAATTGCTCCTGTGGGGATTGTCCACAGTATTGAGTATGTAAGTTAGACCCTCCAGAAAAACGCGGGCAAAAATCCTTGATTATGCGATAAAACATGCGGGGTTTTTATGTGATTTTATGCGGTGAAATTGCGAAATATGCGGAAAGTTGCGAAAAAGAATATATATATTTTTAAATATTGGGCTGTCTTATTTATTCTCTCTCACACACAACGTTAAACCCCTTTCCTATTCAATTAAACACATTCAATTTTTATTTATTCTAAAAGCAATTGGGCTAACACACACACACACACACACACACACACACACACACACACACACACACACACACACACACACACACACACACACACACACACACACACACACACACACACTTCTCCGCCTCATTCTGTTTTCGTTATCTGACCAGCTTCAATCTTGTAGGCTACTCACTTCGTTTCTTGTAGCCCTCTCAAGGGTTTTGGAGGTTGATGCCTCGGTGAACGTGAGTTGTTTGGCTTTCTTGTCCGCAGCAGCAGAAAGCATTTTCGAATGTTGGAATGAATCAAAGTGGGTCGCCGTCGATTTTCTCTTATGCTCCAACACACAGTTGCACGGGGTGCAGAATAGTTTCCCTCCACTTTTTGCCCGGCTTTAGTAGAAATGTTCGTTGGTAAATGAGCTCTATACAGTGTTGTTTACATTCTGTGATGCGCGAGCTGATGACGTCACGTCAAGACGAGTTAACTTTTTTTTCTTCTCAACTTTGTGTGGAAAAATGCGGGGATTATGCGGCCTTTTGACAAATATGCGGCCTTTTAAAAATCTGCGCCATTTTGCTGATTATGCGGTAAATTCTGCGATCGCAGAATCGCGTTTTTCTGGAGGGTCTAGTAAGTCGCTTTGGATAAAAGCGTCTAAAGGCCGCTACACACCAACCTGAGACCAAAGAACGCGTCCGGACTTTTACATCCGCTACGTCGCCTGACTCGGCTACGCTGCCCGCCTACGAACACACCGCGAATACTTTGGTTGACGACTGCCAATAACTGTCCTTACCAGCAGGCAGCGGTAGTGTGTACTATTCGTCATTCAAAAGAGGCAACAGCCAATCAGAGTGATTTATTTGGCCGACGTTCTTTGGGAACGCGGGAGGTGTGAAAATGTGCCGTAAAGCCTCTGACTCCCAAAATCGTGTAGGTGTGTCAGGGCCTTAACAAGTAATATTCTCATTAGAAGGAGCATTGGCTGTTCTTCAAAATAAAATACAAGAAAATTGGATATTAGAAATAAGGAGATTCCTTTTGTCAGCCTTGTTTACATTTAGTTTTTTTACACCATAACTCATATTCCACACAAATATCTAATAAGATAAAACTGTTGGTTCCACAGCGGGGAAATTAATATCAAAGAGGCAATGCCGATACAAACGCAAAAATAAAGTTAGTAGACATAATAAATGTAGAATCAGCAAAATGCACATACACATCCATGGTAAAAAATAAGTGGCAGCATTATAAAAGCAAGTGAGTAAAAATATCAGCCAGTAATAGCAATAATACATTATATAACATTATATATTGCACATGAACACAGCCATAAGGTGTTCATTCTAATTCCCACTGTCACCCTTTCATTTACTCAGAGATGAAGAACTGCAAACCAGAGCCGGGCGAGGTGTCACCGCTCAACTCCTCCAGCTCCAGCAAGAAAGGTGACAGCCTGAAACGTGGCATGAACGACTCAGATGACGATGGAGATCTGCTGGACGATGAAGATGAGGTGAGGAGCGGGGGATGAAGAAAGAGAGGGAGGGAGGGAGAGCTTATACTGTATGTTAAGAATTACTTTTTTTAAATCACATTTTCCTGTTGTACAGATGAAAAACAGAGGGAGGGATGATGACGATGATGAGCCTGAGGAAGGAGAGGACGACGGGGATAGTGCCGACGGAGACGAGTCCTAAACACCACGCACGCACGCACACACACACACACACACACACACACACATTGTGTACGGTTGTATCTCCACCCCAGACTTGTACGCAGTGTTAATTTGCTCATATCTGCTGAATTGACTGGACATTTACAGCATATACAGTGTATTGTAGACTTCACTTTCTCACACACACACACACACACACACACACACACACACACACACACACACACACACACACACACACACACACGTATCGTTTCTGGAATTATATTTCAAGTTGGTCGTTCGATTTTTCTTACCTATTAAGTTTATTTTACTTTTTTTATAAATATTTAAATGCAAACTGTAACTAATGTGTTACATTTAGGCAACATCCAAGTTCAGATGAGGATAGGTGTCACATTGTTTAACATTGTATTTTGAATTCCAGTGTAAAAAATGACAGAAATAGTTTTTTTAGATTACGTGACGTCCAAAACACATAGCAAGAGCTACAATTTAAGCAAAAGCGGGATAAAAATGTTCTACGGTTTGAATATAAGTCAGGCTTGATACGAAATACCAGATATGGTACTACAGTCAAGGCTTGAAAATGTATAAAATATATTCCTGATCCAGTTGCTGTATGTTTTCCTATTAAACAGCAGGTGGCAGTGTATCAAAACAACTGGCCACATAAAAAGACCACAAGGACTTAATTATGTTCGCTCTCTGCTTGTAGGATAACACCATAAGCATGTACAAAGCCTTGTATCCGAATGCAGATATTCAGACAAATCCTCTGAAAATAGTTTTGTTTGTTTGCGAGGTGTTGCGACCTTAACTGATCTTGACTTGTGTAATGCAGTGCTACTTCATGTTTGTCTCTTTCTGTTGAAGTTTTATTTTGTCATTCAACTGCACTGGTAAAAGTGAATAAACATGTTTTCCAAGTTGGACCTTGTATGACCCTTTGCTTCATCACACATGGATGCGTTCAGGTGCAGCGTGAGGCTGTGTGTGTGTACCATTAAGGTTCACTAATTGCAGGAAAGTTGTTAGAAATTAGCCTCTACCTATTGCTGAAATAATGTCTCTGTTGACAGAAGATTTGAAGCAGATGTTTTTTGCATCTGGGTGACTATAGTAAACAATGGTATTTGCACCCGGGTGATTATAGTAAACAATGCTATTTGCACCCGGGTGACTAGTAAACAATGCTATTTGCACCTGGGTGATTATAGTAAACAATGGTATTTGCACCCGGGTGACTATAGTAAACAATGCTATTTGCACCCGGGTGACTATAGTAAACAATGCTATTTGCACCTGGGTGATTATAGTAAACAATGCTATTTGCACCCGGGTGACTAGTAAACAATGCTATTTGCACCCGGGTGTATTTATAGCCACATTGGATATTTACACCGTGTTAAAGAGCATTTTTTTCAATAGTTGCATTATAATACATGTAATGAACAGCCTGTATTGCTACATACACACGTCTTTTCAAAAATACTTAACATTTCCATCACCTGTAATCACATTTTTGAATTATTTATATAGAAAAGTAGATAAGTACGTTTTTCATCGCCATTAAAACTATTTTGCTTTGGGAGATGTAAGCAGGAAGAATAGTGTGTTGTCTTTAAGCCGTGGGGCCAGACTTTCTGTTTTTTTGTTTGTTGCCTTTATATCTTTACTTTATCGGTGGATTAGCACCATTAAAAGTAGGCCGAATATGTTATGAGCACTTTGTGTACATGAAAAGCTGTCAATACAACTATCACTGAACTAGTTTGAAACTGAAGTAAACGTAACAATTTAATATTTCTAAGGCAAGTTCCGGAGTTTCAGGAATGTCTTTTTTCCTACGGTTTCCAAACGGATTGACGGATATCTTTCGCCATGGACATCGGAGATAAAGACCCCCTATTTAAAGTGTAAGTCAAACTTAACATTCAAATGTGTTTATCATGTCTGTATGTTTACATTTGACTAACTTGTGACTCAGAAAAGGAGAATAACTTCACACGTTTTAAGATTTTAACCTACTGTATTAGTCTCTTCCTGTCTCTTAAAGGGCCCATGTCATGCTTTTCCGGTTGTTACCCGTCCCCTTGTGTGTTATGAAGGCTTTTATGCATGTAAACGGTCTGCAGAGTCAAAAACCCTCAAAGTACACCCTGTAGCCAGTAAAACTCTAACACAGTCTATGCTGCCCCAAAACGCCTCGTTGGAGATTTCTCATTTTCCATTGTTTACTTCCTGGGTACTGTGACGTGTGAATACCCAGAGGCCACACCCTCTGCCAGCATTTCACGAAACAAAGCTTCACAAACCTTTCAGCGATTCATGCCGGATATGTACAGCGTAGGGCACTGAAGAACAATGCTGTTCCTACTTTGTTTGGACCAACGGGAGATTCGGGTACACAACCTGTAAGTATTAATTGTTGTTTGTGTATTTATGATGTTTAAAACAAACAAGGTATCTACCATGACTGTTTTAATAAAATGGGTAAACGTTTTTCGGGCTGCTAAGTTGGGATCGCTGCGACGAGTTGGGATCGCGGCGAAATGCTCTCCGCAGATCCATTCTCACAGCGTTTATCAACCTTTTTCTTACTCAATATCAAGCCACACTTTTTTTTTTTTACTTCGGCTGCGAGTGTTTGTGTGTGCTCAGGATGAGTTTTGCTTGTTCTCGCTGTATCGCCGACCCGGAAGCCTGTCCGCTCCTCGCAGCAGATCGCAGCAACGAGCCTCGCAACGTCCCGACCAATCAGAGCACGGGCTCACAGGGCGGGGGGGGCGGAGCTCCAACAAGCCGTTTAGGACAGAGAGTGAATACATATACTTTACAGAGATGCTGTATGAGAAACCAATGTGAGTTTGGAAAATTGCACAGTATAAATCTATTTTAGTAGACCTCAACAATGGAATTATGATCAGTAGAAATGGCCATGACGTGGGACCTTTAAACAATTGACAGGTGCGAACAAAACTACCTGCCTGTTTAATTACCCTTTAAAAAAGGATTTTTTCTAATTTTTCTTTCATTTTGTGTGATTTCAGCCTTAGTTAAGACTTTTCAAAAACAGGTTTTAACATAAACTCTTATAGAGACTGTTACACATTTCAATTCAGTCTTCTAGCTAAACATAGAAAGACAAATATAAAATAAATCCAATTATACAGTACAAGATAAAAAGCTTGTTAGCCAGCAATGTTATTACCAATGACCAAACCTCAATCAATACACATCCTCCCTATTGATATACTGCCTGCAGTCTGCTGAGGCCTGGTTAATGAGGAAGGAACAGAGAGCTGACTGGAATAAATGGGAAAGATGGATAACAAATCAATAATCCTCCATCTTTAGGGTGAGTTGTGATTAATGAGGGAACAACAGACAGCAGAGGGGTTGGATAGTCTGGCATTTACACATATACACCATTAAAAAAACAGTTATTGGCTGCACTGTATATTCCCTCCAACTTGATGAACTGTTTTCATCATGAACTTGTCATTGTCTCTCAAGAACTCATAGTTATTATATACTTTTTGTATTGTTAATATGGACTATGAGTATGAAGGGAAGAGACTTCTTCTGTTGTTCTTCACAAACCATCTTCTCTGTTTCTATTTCAACTTATTGTCTTTCACTTTCTCCATTATTGACTTGAGGAAATCCAGCCTGGTTTCCCTCTGACCCTACTCCTCCTTTATCTTTTAATGATTTAATAAGGGATAGTAACAATCCACCGCAGACTTGAGACAGATGGAAGAATTAGCTGACAGATGGAGAGATCGCAGGACGAGCGGAAAATATATTATGGTTTGCCGTGGGGGGGAATAAGGTTGTGGAAATGCTGTGCAACAATTAAAGTGAGGACTTGCAGAGCAGTGGCTTTTGTTTAAACACTGTCTAAGCACTGGTGGTGGTTGTTGAATTGGATATAAATGATTGCTTGTCACTTGAAATAGTTGTAGTTGTTTGGGTATTCAAGGTTTGTTTTGATTTGTTTTGCTGGCATCACGTTGATCGAGAAACTATAAGATAAGGCCTACATTTCAGATGATCGAATGAACAGATTGTATTGATTACTGACGTTCCACAACGCCCCCTCCTATAATATATTCTATGTTTGTTGTTGGGGAAAATCGGCCAATCCAGCAAAATCAATAAGGCTCACACACAAACACGCGTCCCTCGCTTTCTGGCTTTGTCACATGATTTCACGCATATGCCTGCCCTGTTGTCTGTTGGAAGAGCATTACAAACACTCTAGCTTTTGAATCATATCAATATCCTAACACATGTTTGAAACGTATGGCCATTTGCACACTGAAATGGGCCATTTCCTGCTCATTTAGTTGACGCTTTTATGCAAAGCAACAATCGCTTCAATTAAGTAGAAATGCCAAACCAAACTATTTTGTGTTTATGTTTATAAAGGATCCCCATTAGCTTTTGCTCTCGACAAAAGCTACTCTTCCTGGGGTCCGACACTTAAAACAATACAACAATAATAATAAGCAACATTTAGGACATAAGTCCTGACATCATTAACAACATTAAAAACATAAACATCCAATATCATCAACAACATGCGATCAAATTCAATTAGGGTTCACAGCTCACAGGGTACATGGTCATTAGTAGATGGCCCTTCAATCTCTTCTTGAAAGAGGCTCTGGACTCTATTTCAGTAAGTTAGGCAATGAGTTCCATTCCTTTATAGCTCTAAGTCACAGAAGATTTCAGAAGATGTGTCCTGGGTTTAGGTGCCAGTAGATGGCCTGATGTAGCTTGTCTAGTCTTATGGTCATGCTCGTCTCTTGTGTAAACTATTTGATCATAAAAATACAGTGTTTTTTTGTTAAATTGATAACAAAAGTGATAACACGAGATTGCAGAGGTTTCTCAACCGGAAGCCATGATAGGCTTCTATGCATAACTCCAATATGAGTGCGCCTCGAACAGTGGAGAGCTAGTCTTGCAGCCTTGTTTTGAGCTATTTGTCATTTCTGTAAATGTGTTTTTGCTGCTGATGACCATATGACCGGACAGTACTCAAGATGTGACAAAACCAGAGACTGAATGACTTGTTTCAAAGTGGTTGGTGTTACATACTTTGTACATTTTCTCGCCACAGCTATGTTGTTTCCCATTTTAGTTACGATACTGTCAATTTGCTTTGTCCACCGTAAACCAGAATCAAGAACAATGCCAAGCAATTTAGTCTCGTTTACCTGTTCCACTGGCTGACCAGCCAGTGTCAGGCTTAATTGAGGATTGCTGTTTAACATAGTCTGACAATGGTCCGAACACCATTGCTTTTGTTTTTGACACGCTGCAAACGGTGTCCGCCAAAAGTCGAGTCCAGTGTCTATGTAGTGTCATTTTTATTTGTTATAGTTTGGGAAGATTGAAAATCGGTAGGGAAAGCCAGCTAAGTCGGTAGGCGGTAGAAACATGTCAAAAGCATTAGACTACCGCCCAAATCGGTAGGGTTGGCAGGTATGCTGCTGTAGATAGCTCCAGGT